TACCATTGTGCAATAGAGTGTACTTATTAGACTTACCATCAAAGGTAACATGCTTATCAAATTGCCAAGATCTTTCCAAGATAACATGAGTAGTATGCATAAGGACAACATCGCACACAACCTCATCAATATAGTTGCCAATTGAAAAAGGAAGATGTACCTGTTTATAGACATGTACCTCTCCATTTTCACTTAGCCATTGTAGTCGGTACGGGTGTGGATGTCTAGTTGTAGGAAGTCCCAAGCTCTCCACCATTGACAAGCTTGCTACGTTGGTGCAACTTCCTCTGTCAATGATGAGACTGTACACTTTGTCACTTACTTTACATCGAATGTAAAACAAGTTTTCCCTTTGTAACTGCTCATCCTCCTTAACTCGGGCGGTTAGCACTCTTCGTGCCACCAAACAACCTATTTCCCCTTGAGTAGGGGAGCACTCTTTCTCAGCCAAGTCATTCTCCAAGCAGTCATCCTTGGTCAAGCAGGGCATCTCCTCACAATCATCATCATCAGACATGATTGCTCCATTGTGAGTTACTAACATAATCCGTTGATTCGGACATTGAGATTGAATATGTCCAAATCCTTGGCATTTGAAGCATTTGATATCCCTATTCCTAGGCTTAGGAGTTTCTTGAGTGGCCTTAGAAGTAGACCTGGATGCGTCAACAAACTTATTAGGGGGTAGAATGGGAATTCGGTTAGGGACAGTACCTTGTGTTCGATCAGCATTAAGTGGGGTAGCTTCATGTGATGTCCTCTTCGGTTGATTTCCCTTCCACACATTCGGATTTGAGGGTTGGTAGGTTCGGCCACTTCTCCTCAATTTCTTTCCCTTTTCGATCTTGATGGCCAACTCAAGAAGGTCACTTATTTCCAAGTAATGCTGGAGTTCCAAAGCTTCTTGAAAGTCAGGGTTTAGACCTCTAAGAAACCTTGCCATCGTAGCCTCACTATCTTCTTGTATATTAGCTCTCATCATGGCCATCTCGATCTCCTTATAATAGTCCTCCACACTCATGTTGCCTTGAGTGAGAGTTTGTAGTTTGGAATGGAGATCACGGTTGTAGTAACTTGGAGATCAGGGTCACTTTTTCCTTGGAATATAGGAACTTGGATTTTAAGTCCTTTGAGCACGTTCTTAGAAGTATCCCTTGTAGGCCTCTTGGCTCTTTCTTCATCCTCACTTGCCGAATAATCCTCATAATTTGCCCCTTTGGTGCCATGGTGATTTCGGTTGTGAGATCTAGATTGAGAGCCTCTCGTGAAGTTCTTGGAGAGTTCATCAAAGCGATTGTGCATTTCCTCCATTTGTTGCTCACTAATCCGCTTAAGCTCGTGTTTCATGGCATTAAACATCAAGGTGTAATCAGGGATTGGGTTAGTTTGCTCCATATCCTTCGTCTTACCCTGCAAAATGTTAGTAAACAAGAAAATAGTACGAATATAACCCCACTTTACTTCCTAAGTGTTTCACTCACACTCGTGTGTTTACTCCAAAGCACTCAAATGAACTTACCAAAAATTCCTTACCTTGTCGGTTTGAGTAGCTTGAGAAATGCCGCACAAGATCCTCAATTTGTTCACCAAGTTTCACACAAGAGTAACCAAGACAAGACACAATTCGGATGTAAGTTTGGGAAACAATGGTTACGGTTTATGGTGTTTCTAGGGGCGGACAGAATTGGAAGGGGCGTTAGTGTGAAAGGGAAGTGAACAAAACCCTAGTTTCCTAATTTGGAAGGACTTATCCAAGTGGAATTAGGAGAGTTATCTAAGGTAGTTTCGAATTTTGCTCAAGTCAATGGGATCTCAACAACGTGACACAAACAACCCTCCTCGGGCTCCCCCCCAATGGGTTACCCAAGATATTCCTAAGAAGGAAGCAAGGACTCCAAGAAAACCTTTCGCCAATACTCAAGAATACAAGAAATTGTTCACTAAGCGGATGAAACAAGTTTCCAAGAATCAAGGGGTTCAAGAACTTCAAGAAATAGTGGACCAAAACTTTTGAATATTTTTTTTGTTTTTTTCGTCCTTTTGTGTGTTTTTTTTATAGTCTTGGAAACAAGATGTAATCCGTGACTGATTTTAGCAATAGACTTCGAAGTTTCCCTCTTGTTTTTTTTCATTTCTTTTTTTGACTTAAATCGGACCAACACAACACAACTCAAGGGCTGGCCGAATGGAATTTTCCTTATTTTTCCAGATTTTGGTTTCGGCCAAGACTCGCAACAATAACTATCAAGAACTCCAAGATCCTTCAAGAACTTTCACGTAAGTTATCAAGAACTTCAAGATTGTGGTCAAGAAATTCAAGAAACTCAAGATTCGTTGGAGGTTCTTTCAAGATTCTCAAAATACCAACAAGTTTTACCAATTTCAGATTTGAAAACAAGTAAAAAAACTTGGATGACTCACGAACAAGGTTGGACAGATTTGGACAGCAAGCCACGACAACCAAGGGACTTCGGATAAAAAAGGACACCAAAACACGATGAAACCCTAGTGACTGAAGTTCGGATAGATTTGCAAGGGCAACTACGGCAAAATTGAAGACGTAAGACAAGATACAAGCACAGACAGAATTCAACGCAACAAACACATGTACGGTCAGAATTTTAATGCTCACAATAAAACGCAAACACGGACCCAAACTCCGGATAGATTTGTGACACAAGAATTACAAACTTCGAACAGATTATGAGACGCAACAAGTAAGCAACTACAGCCAAAAATTTTGACCAAACACACGACTGAATGGTAAAGCAACAAGGAAACACACGGCGGGCAGATTTGACACTACAGACAGAAAATCAAGATTGTGCAAATGAACAAAAGTGCGGACAGCATATATATATATTTATAACAATGCAGCGGAAATAACAAACCTTAGAACGACTAGATGAACAAGAAAAAATGGATATAACGAATTGATACCTCAACTAGCTCTGAAGCCAACTGATACGCTTCTCGGTCAACTCGTTCCGAGACACGTAGCACGGTTCCCCAAGGATTTAGAGGGATATTCAACCATTTAGATTGCGGAACCTAGAACCAAGAGGAATGACTCAACTTGGTAGAAGGCGGTAGAACGGCGACTCCAATTGAGGTGGTTACTCAAGTAGATAGGTCGGATGAACAACCAAGGACGTCACACGAGATTGCTCAAGAACTCTTGCCAAGCAAGTAAAGGAAGTAACTCTTGAAATCGTAAGAGAAACTATGCAAGTTTTATTATCAAAGTTCGTAACCCTTCAACCGTACAACTTGTGCCTTTTTATAGGCTAGTGACTAGCGAAATTCCATAGGAAAAAGGATCACAACTTACCTAAAACTAGAGGGGAGGTTCGGCCACTCTTGGATCTAAGTGGGCCGAACCCTTCCCTTCAATAAGTAACAAGCTAGTTAACTTACTAAGCAATTGACTCGATGAACTAAAAACAAGCTAACACTAATGACTAGAGGGCCTAACAGTTTGCTAGATGGCCTAACAATTTGGCCTCTCCATTAAGCTCAGGCGTGGTCATCACTTGGCCCCTCATGGGCTTGGAGCAATGTGCAGACGACTTGCTTAGCAACTTCCAAACCTTCAATGTTCCTATGGACTCCTTGTTGGTTTTGAACATTACGAATGAGGGTTTGAAGAGATTCTTTGAAGCGCTTGGCCCGTGCACGTGTAACTGGGCCCAATGGAACTCACACTTGTGTATCATCCGTGCACATATCAAAAACTATACTAATCCTATGCTAATGAACAAAGAAAAATTAGTGAAAACTATATTTTTGAGATAGTTCCTAACCTTGGAAAATTAAGCAAATAAGCTCTCCAAGACCTCTATTTATAAAAGATTAAAGCTCCACGTTGATGCAAGTTGTGTGTTGGAATTGTCAAAAGTTGATTCTTGAAGTCTCCATGATCTTCTTAGGCAATTCCCACCAAATTCGCTCAGAAAAATGATCCAAAAAAGTTGTATGAACAAAGTATAAGTTACAAAGTAAGTTACACAGTCGAAATAAAGGATACACAGGGTGTTACATAAGGTAGGGTCACGTAACACGCCCCCATAACTGCTCTATTGTAGGTTTTGTACTTTTTGATGATTTATGGAAATTACTTAATTTTTGTATCAAATTCACCTACAAATTTTTTGATAATGAAACCCGCAATAGCTCTTGTATAAAACATAAAAGTCATAGTCCTTTGAGTTTGCTTTTTAATGCATCAAGAATAATCTCATTTGGAGCCCTACACTTGTAAGAATTCGTCGATCAAGTTTTTGGCGCTATTACCAAGGATGATGCTTAATTTTTCTACTTTAGTTATTTTTGTTTTATTTTATTTTATTTTGTTATCTTGTTTTACTTCTAGTTCTTCACTTTTAGTTTTGATTTTTCTTGTTTAGGTGCTTGGTGTATGACCGATCTAAAAAATGTGACTTGGAATTTGACCCAAATTCGAGAAAATAGCATAATACTTGAGGAAGAAAACTTGTCTACAAAAACAAGCTTTGCAAACATCTTCACCGGGATTCCATATTGCCTTAGAGATAGCTGAGTTGGATAGATCGGATGAGTCTGAAATAGCGGAAGAAAATAGAAACAATGCTAATAATCAATAGTAGGTAGTTCAACCTCCAGCTAGACTTTGTGTTTGAGACATCTAACGTCTTGTTATTGTAGCTTTCCCACACTACATCAAATTAAGTGAAAGAGCAAGAAATTATGAGCTTAAAACAGTACAATTCATCATGCTACCTGCCTTTCATGGATTAGTCAATGAAGATTCGCTCTCTTTCATACAAAAATTTTATTCAATTGTGCAAACTTTTTTGATGAATGGTGTGTCAGAAGATGATCTAAGGATGAGGTGCTTCCCTTATTATCTCAAGGATCATGCAAAGTCTTAGTTACTTCATCTACCTAAAGGATCTTTGAGGATATGGAAAGATGTCTATAATATTTTTTTGACCAAATACTACTCATCTCAGAAGATCATCGACTTAGGGAACAAGATTTGTACATTTTCATAGTTGGACGGAGAGCCAATACATAAAGCATGGGAGTATTTTAATCTACTACTCTCTCAATGTCCTCACCACTAATGTTCTTTGGAACTGTAAGTTCAATTTTTTATGATGGGTTGACCTTAACAATCCAAAATATGGTAGATATTGCAGTTGGAGGAATTGGTAAGTCTTTATGAATTGCTTTCTAGTAACTTACAATAGAAGGCAATTAGGGGCAAAAGAATAGGCGTCTATGAAGTGGGAGCATCAAAGGATTCAGGTTCATAGATTGTTAAACTGAGTCGTTAGGTCCATCGAATACAATTAATGTTATGTTGTGACACTTAGTCTCAATAGCCTTGTTCTTATTATTGCATGTATGGGCATTCTATTGCTGGTTGCTATAATAGAGATCCTTCCACCATGGTAGAAGACGTTAATTTCACTAGAACATATGGTAAACAGAAGTAACAACCAAGGAATGATCTGATCTCTTAAACGTACAATGAGGGGTAGAGGAATCACTCTAACTTTTCATGGAAGGATCTGTTAAGAAGAGAGAAGCTTTTAGAGAGAGAGAGAGATTGGTGAAGTTTTCCATGTATTTCACTCATATCAATATACAAAGATACAAGTACCTATTTATAGGATTACACAAAGTAGTAATTAGAGTCCTACCAACTACCAACTATTAACACCTATCAAATCCTTAATTGATACACATTAACTCCTAATAGAATATTTACAACCTCACTTACCAACTACTACAGCTCAATCCAACACTCCCCCTCAAGTTAGTGCATAAATATCGTACATGCTCAACTTGCCTAATGAGTTGTTGAAAATCTTAGTCGGCACAGCTTTTGTGAGCATATCGGCTAGCTGATCTTCTGACTTCACGAACGGAAACTATATCACTTTTTCTTCAAGGTTCTGCTTGATAAAGTGTCGATCGACCTCAATATGCTTAGTACAATCATGTTGAACCAGATTATGGCTGATATCGATAGCAGCTTTGTTATCACAGAATAAGTTCACAGATTATGGCTGATTCTATCCATCTGCATTGCCTCAAATTCAGTTCCTTCTGTGAAAATAAGTACTTAAGGCTTTTGTGATCAGTAATGACTTCAAATGTTACTCCATACAAGTAATTTCTCCATTTCTTCAAAACAAAAACCACAGCCGCTAACTCCAAGTCATGAGTCGGGTAATTCCCTTCATGCGGTTTCAATTTCCTAGAGGCATATGCTATCACTTTGTCATTTTACATCAAAACACATCTCAATCCTTCCTTAGAGGCATCTGTATAAACCACAAAACTATCCTTTTCGTTTGGCAAAGCTAACACAGGCGCCCTTGTCAACCGTCTTTTCAATTCTTGGAAGCTATCTTCACACTTAGGACTCCATACAAACGTCCCATTTTTCTTGGTCAGCTCAGTCATTGGTCCAGCAATTCTAGAAAAATCTTTGATAAATCTCCGGTAATACCCTGCTAATCCAATAAAATCCCGAACTTCGGTAGGGTTTTCCGGTCGTTTCAATTTCAAAACAGCTTTAACTTTAGTTGGATCTACTTTAATCCCATCTTTAGAAATTATGTGTCCCAAGAAAGTCACTTCTTTTAACCAGAAGTCACACTTGCTAAACTTTGCATATAATTGATGTTCCCTCAAAATTTGCAAAACAATTCTCAAATGCTTCTCATGATCCTTCACATTCTTAAAATACACCAATATGTCATCAATAAAGACCACCATAAATTAATCTAGATGAGGTTTAAAGACCCTATGCATTAAATCCATGAAAATAGCAGGTGCATTCGTTAATCCAAACGGCATCACGACAAATTCAAAATACCCATATCTCGAGTTAAAAGCAGTCTTGGGTTTGTCCTTCTCCAAAATCCTCAACTAATAATAACCCTGTCTCAAATCTAATTTCGAGAATACTACAGCCCCTTACAATTGGTCAAATAATTCATCAATGTGGGGCAAAGGGTACTTATTCTTAATAGTGACCTCATTCAAGCCTCTATAATCTATACATAACCTCAAACTCCTGTCTTTTTTCTTAACGAACAAAACTGGGGCTTCCCACGGAGAATCACTCTCTTTTATAAAACCCTTTCCAGCAAGTCTTGCAGTTGCAATTTCAACTCCTTCAATTCCGCTGGAGCCATCCGATATGGTGTCTTAGAGATAGGTGTCACTCCCGGGGTTATATCAATCTTAAAATCTATTTCCCGTTCTAGAGGTAGAGACTCTAACTCTTCGGAAAAAACATCTGGAAAGTCTTTCACTACAAGCATGTCCTCCAAATTCACCTTATCACTAGGGGTGTTAATAAGAAAAGCCAAATACCCTTGAGCTCCTTTACTTAAAAATTTTCTAACCCGAATTCCTGAAATAAGTGCAGATGAAGCCAATTTACCCCTTACATCCAGTTTCAGGGTTGCCTCCCCTGGAATACACAATTCTACAATTTTCGTCCTACAATTCAACTGGGCATTATAACAGGTTAGCCAATCCATTCCTAAAATCACATCATATCCCTTAATTGCTAAACCTACCAGGTCGGTCAATAGTTTTCGTTCCCCGACACAGACCTCACAATCTCTATATATCAGGTTACCAATTAAACTTTGATCTCCAGTAGGTGTTTTAACTTCCAAGTCATACGGTAATTTAATCGATTTCAAGTCTATTCCACTCATAAAGTTAGGGTTTACAAAAGAATGTATTGCTCCCGGATCAATTAAAACCCTAGCTAAACGATGAAAGATTGGAATTGTACCTTCAACCACTTCAGTCACCTCAGGAACTTACTGATAGTCCAGTGCATAAACTCTAGCCGGTACTTTCGGTCGACTTCCCCCAGCACTGGCCTGCTTAGAGGTTGACTTTTCTGGCCTCTGAGTGTTACTTCCCATTTTTGGTGCTTTCGGACAATTTGCGACTTGATGTTCGGCACTACTACAAAACAAGCACTTTCCCGACTTTCCCCAACAATCATTATCGAAGTGATTGGGTTTCCCACAGTATCTACAAATAACCTAAGGGGACACTACCAAACCAGTAGAAGGCGCTCCCCTAACTTGAGTTGGGCCACCACGACCTCCTCTAGACAGAGCTCCCGTAGAAGCTCCAGCAATCCTTGTTCCTCCAGCTCCTCTTCCCATTTTGGAAGGTTGTGTACTCTTACCAGCCTGCCCTGATAAAGAGCCAAAAAAATGTCTCTTTCTATTGTGAAAATCTCTCACTTGAAATCTTGCAATCTCAACCCTTTGTGCCTTCTCTAAAGCTTTAGTAAATGTAGAGATTTGGGTTGCAACCAAAACCTCCTGAATTTTCACATTGAGCCCTTGTACAAATTGCCTTATCCTCTTCTGTTCATTAGTTACCAATTCAGGGGCATACTTAGAAACTGTAGTGAATTTTCCTTCGTACTTCGCTACACTAAGGGTTCCTTGTTTCAATTTGATAAACTCATCCTCCCTTTTCTCCTGGATTAAGGGTGGAAGAAACTTTTCATTAAACTCCCTCGTAAAATTCTCCCAAGTCCAAGGGGTTTGAACTCTTTTCCATTTTCCTTTCACCATATCTCACCAAGCACGAGCTACTCCCTCAAATTGGAAGACTGCAAGTTCACTCGCCTATCCTCAGTGTAGTCTAAAGCAGCGAATATGTTGGTCATCCTTTCTAACCAATTCTTCGCTACTTCAGGATCAGGTTCGCCAAGGAACTTAGGTGGGTTAAATTTCAAGAACCTCTCTAAGGCTCTATTCTCACCCATATCCTGTCCCCCAGTTTGGTTAAGCGGTCCAGGACCTTGTCTATCAACTAAGCGTTCTAGGATATCAGTCATCCTGTTAATGGCAGTAGCCACTTGATTACCCTCAATATTTTCCTGGCCCTGGGTCAGTCCAGTTACCGATCCCTGGTCATTCCCCTGAGTTTGGGCCTGTCTAGTCCTTCGCCCACGGCCTCGACCACGGCCTTGGCCCCTTCTTAGCCCTTCTATAGTGCAAGAAATAAGTCAATTATACGGTGCAAAGTAGAAAGCAGGAACAAATCAAGAAAACATTGAAAATAACAATAATTTACATTCATTTTTTTTAATCAAAACCTTTATTAATGGTAAGAAAATTACAATGGAGAGGAGCTAAACGCCCTGTCATGAAAACAGCCCTACATAGTAACTAAGGCTTCCATTGCCGGCGAATGTAAGGATAGCTAACTCTGTCTAACTGAAGAAGCCCACGAATGTCCCTTGGAAAAGAGGTAGCACAGTAGGATGAGGACGCACGAGACGTGCTGGCTGATTTGGCAAGCGAGTCCGCCACAGCATTGAGCTCTCTGTAGCAATGATGCAAGACCGAGGTGAAGTCCTCAAGTAGATGTCGAATGTGGCAAACCACCCCCCAAATCCTCCACGGACACTTCATCTCACGTCGTACTACCTTGAGGAGAGTCAGCGAGTCAATTTCAATCTCAACGTGGGGAAAGCCATGAGATTTGCAAAGCTGTAACCCTTCGAGGAGAGCCATTGCTTCAGCACTCATATTGGTCTGCCAACCATAGAAAGTGGAAAAACCATAGAGTAGCCTCCCCTCGCTATCCCGGATGAGCCCTCCTCCCCCCGCATCTCCCGGGTTCCCAAGAGAAGAACCATCAACATTTAACTTCACGTAGCCCATGGGAGGGACCCTCCAACGGATTATACGGAGCCGAGCCCTGGGTGGCGGCTTAAGGAAAGGTACAAGCCCTTGAGTCCAGCAGCATTTATCTTCAGGAGTAGAACATGTGAAAGGAGTGGCCCTTGCTATGAGCTGGAGCTCCTTAACAATGTGATTAAATATAACGTGCACTGGAGTAACAATCCCCTCAAAGTAAGCCAGATTGCGGAATTTCCACAGTGCCCAACAGATGAGTGCCAGTAGTAAACGATAGCAATTCGCGACAAAGCCATTGCCAGACGAGTGCATCCACCAGTTCTGAAGTTGCATAAGAATCTCGTCCGCTCTATCCGTTCGAAAGTGCAGCAAGAGCCCCAGGCGATGCCAAACCGCAGTTGCGACTTCACAAGTGAGAAAT